CATCATTCACCCATCACTGTCTTGCCCAAAAGGGTGCTTTACACACAGTTTTTAAATGCAACATTAACACCCTTCCTTCAGAGTGCAGGCACGACTTCCCCTCTCCAGGGCTCAAAATCCCCCCTGCCGGTTTTCCCGAATCCCTTCATAAATGTTACTTGCTCCACTCCAACACAGTCAAGTATCAAAAACCATTTGTTCCTTCATCCTACAAACACCTCACCAGCCCTGAAGTCCAAGCCCCTCGACACAAAACCTTCTTTACCCCCTCCCCCCCAAACCCCTTTCCCGGGCCCGACCCCTCCCCCGCCTTCCTTCCACTACAGATGATACACCTTGAACATTTGTTCGCTCCATTCTCTCTACATGTCCAAAACCCCCAACAACCCTTCCTCAGCCCCCCTGGACAACAGTTTTGGTAACCCACACCTCCTCCTAATTCCAAACTACAATTTCTGCATTATTTTCACACCACACATTCCCCTCAGACATGACATCTCCACTGCCCCCACCCTCCTCCCGCTGCAACATTCATCCCCCACGCTTCACACCCAAAAAAGGGGTTTGGGTAAAACTATACCCATACTTCCCCTCTTTGCCCCCAAAGGAAAAAATTTCTTGTCTCCACAACCCAAAAGGCACCACTCACTCTTTTTCCCTATAAATTTCCTTGTTTACCTCATCTTTCATAACCCATCCGCTGACACGTCCCCCCAAATATCTGAATACGTTCCCCTCCCCCATACTCTCTCCCCCAATCTGATATTCAATCTTTCATCCCCAAATCTTTTTTTTTGTCTCAAAACCCTTTAACTTTTCCTGTATTCACCTTTAATTTTCTTCTTTTGCAACCCACCAAATTCATCCCCCAATCTCTGCAATTTTCTCTTCAGAACCCCCAAGAGCACAGTGTCCCCAAAGGGGCGTGTACAATCCCACTTTGTTTTTGGATTCTTTTCTTTTAACTCCCGCCCCTTTCCAAGACCCTCGCATTTACTTTTCTTTCAAACCCTCTTAAAAAAAATTAAACAACCACGGTGCTCACACTCCTTGTCTAAAGGGCCCACTTTTACTGGGAAAAAAATTTCCCTCTTTCCCAATACTCAACTTGACCCCTAATCCTCGTAAAAATCTTTTGCTTTCAGTAACCTACCTCCTCCAACACTTGCAACATCTCCACATTCCCCCCCCATCCACCCTGTCTATCCCTTTTTTCCAAACCCATAAATGCCACAAAGCCCCTTTTTAGCCTTACTAAATACTGTTCACTTTATGTTTCACTGTAAACACCGGTCCACACACCCCCTCCCTTTTCCAAACCCTCCTTGTTCATCTGCTACCTATTCTCCTCTTACTTTTAATTCTTTCAATTATAACTCTACCAAACACTTTACCAGTACACTCAACAACTTACCCCCATAATTTTTTGACTCTTTTTTACCCCTTTTTTGCTTTATACAAAGGGAACTACAGCCTCTGCCAATCCTGGGTACCTTACCCTCTTCCATACATTTTAAATAATTGCACCAACCACCCCAAAAACTAAATCCCCACCTGTTTTTAAACATTTTATCTTTTCCCATCAATCCCGGCTGCCTTCCCCCCCTTTCTTTTTACCTACTCCCTAAGAATTTTTCCCCCACACCACAACTGGCTCTTCCTCACCCTAAAAGATGTTATTCCTCCTTCCCTATAACAAATCACAGCTTCCCTATCTTCACAATTTTTAAACAATTCCTCAAAATATTCCTTCCATCTCCCAATACCTCAACCCCCATTTAATAACTTCCTCTCCTATTTTTAACTGACAAAACCATTTTTTCTCTAGGCTTTTTTAACTTGTTTTCTCACTCCAAAACTTTTTCTTTTTTCAAAAAAATTTGGATAACATCCACCCACTCTCTCATTTGCTTCTTTTTTCATTTCTTTCCCCCTCCTTTAAATTCTCTCTTTTTCCCTAAACTCTTCCCCCCTTGCTCCTTCTACTTTTAAAAACTTCTCATATGCTAACTTTTTTCCCTTACTATCCTTTACATCATCATTCCACCAATCGCCCCTCTTCCCTCCTGCACCCACTTCCTGTAACCACAAACTTCTGCTGAACACTCTAACACTACATTTATTAAACCTACCCCATACCTCTCGACCCCATTGCCTATGCTCTCATTAGCCCATCTAATCCTCCAATAGCTGTTTATATCTTACCCTAACTGCCTCCTCTTTTAGTTATAAACCTTCACCTCTCTCTTCCCTGATGCTTTATTCTCCTTGTATCCCATCTACCTTTTACTCTCAGTGTAGCTACAACTAGAAAGTGATCTGATATATCTGTGGCCCCTCTATAAACATGTACATCCTGAAGTCTACTCAACAGTCTTTTTCTACCAATACATAATCCAACAAACTACATATATATATATATATATATATATATATATATATATATATATATAATATTTATATATATATATATATATATATATATATATATATATATATATATATATATATATATATATTTTTTTTTTTTTTTTCAACAAGTCGGCTGTCTCCCACCGAGGCAGGGTGACCCAAAAAAGAAAGAAAATCCCCATAAAGAAAATACTTTCATCGTCATTCAACACTTTCACCACACTCGCACATTATCACTGTTTTTGCAGAGGTGCTCAGAATACAACAGTTTAGAAGCATACACATATAAAGATACACAACATATCCCTCCAAACTGCCAATATCCATATACGTACAGTATTTATGTACTCTACAGTATTTGCAAAGAAAGCAATTTGGCAGATATTACAATATAAGGAATAGGTTGTAGGTTACTAAAAACAGTAAAACAGTTTTAATGTAGATAGTGAGGCTGAGGTTAGGGTATTTAGGAGGGAGGGGACGTATGCATAGACACTCGGTATGTATACAAAATTACCCAGCAAAATATAAAAACTTTGCAAAAAATTTTGTGTGTACAGCCTACTGAATATAGTATATACCATGTTTTCCAGCATATAAGGAGCACCTCTTTTTTCCTACAAAAAGTCTTGGAAAATCACTTGGTGCCTTATATGGTCAAGGTCAGGGTCAAGGGTAGGCTAATAAGCCTCTTACTTTACGCTTTAGCGTAAAGTAAGAGGGTTATTAACACTTGAATATAATCAGTGATTTTCCATTATGATGATTCTGTCATGCACCTTATATGACGGAAAATACTGTACGTGGGTAATCTCACCTTGTGGTGGTGCTTTTGCTGCTGCTGCTGGCTGGTGGTTTTGGTGTAGAACCAGAAGTATCATCTTTCCTTGGCAAGGGTATCATGTTTGGGTTACTGAGAATCACTGAAAGAATAAGATGAACATTACACAAGTGAATATATACAAGATCATACTAATGCAACATTAAATGGGGAGGAGGGGGCATTCAAGCCATATTTTATTTGTCCAATGTTTTTAATTTTTTTTTTTTACTTAAAGTGTGTGATGTAGGAACATCATAGTGTATGAGTTTCATGATGATAGCCCTGAAAATAAAAAAAAATTGAAATTAAACAACCTTTTTCTGATATGACAACACTTGTGCATGTGCACAGGAAAACTGGACATAGGAAGTGTTGCAGATAAGACATTGCTAATCCTGAGTGCTCAAGTGAATTTTTGAAGTAGCCAAAAATCAAGAAAATGCATCACCTTTAATGTTAGACTGTACTGAAGAAAAAAAAGCCACTGTAAAATATTGCTTTGATTATACACCTGCAGTGGTGTATGACCCTGGTGGGTTTAGAGCTTAGTTTTTATTAAAATACTAATGATAACACACCAGTCATCACTTGCTGGAAATAAATAGAATCTTGACACCAAGTTATCTTTTTTAAAAAATATTTCACAAAACAAATGTTTTGTCACAGAAATGCTGCCTCACGTACAATATTTGAAACATTTCGTCAACAGCTTTGAGTGATCCAAGATTCTTACACCTGGGGTAACACACTATCAGCTCTCAAAATAATGTTAACCAGGTTCAAGTCTTATGCCACTGACTATAACATAATAGTCAACACATTTTTTGATCCCGGACGAAAGAATAACTTTTCCATGACGACGCAGTGGATTAGTCGTGTAAAACAAATGACAATATAGAAAATGAATTGAAAGAAACTCAGGAGAGCATTTCACACATCAAGAACTGAGAGAGTGCTGCTGGTCTGCTAGCAGCATCAAAGCTGATGAAGAAATTCAAGATGATGTAACAAGAATTGAAGAACTTGATGAGTTTGAGTTTAATAAGTGTTATGAAGAAATTGTAGCTAGTATTCCCAACAACTGCATGTCAGACATCTGCCTTGGGATCCTTTTCTAAAATCCCAAAAAGCAGCATCCAAAAAACAATTGTGTTGGTATTTAAATAACAAACATAAAAAGAAACTGACAAATATATGGTAATATTGTTATTGCCTAAAGAAGGAATCCCACTAGTTGAGGAAGAGATGATAGTTCTTCCATCTGTGTCAAATCTAGGTAATAAATATATATGATACATAAAAAGTTGTTCTCCATGAGGAAGTGGAAAAGAATTCTTCCTCCATAAGCCATGCGTATCATAAGAGGCGACTAAAATGCCGGGAGCAAGGGGCTAGTAACCCCTTCTCCTGTATATATTAGTAAAATTAAAAAGAGAAACTTTTTATTTTTGGGCCATGCTGCCTCAGTGGGATATGGCCAGTTTGCTGAAAGAAGAGATTTTCCTAAAATGCCAGGAGCAAGATGCTAGTAACCCCTTCTGTATAAATTACCCTGCCTTGGTGGGAGACAGTTGGTACATTAAAAAATAAAAATAAAAATTGTATAGCTGGATATGAAAACTGATGAAATGCTGATGTAACAAAGAATGAAGTATTTCAAGGCAATACTAAGGAGTCAAGCCTGTCTCAACTTCGCTTAAAATCTTTTACCATTAAAGAAACATTAGTACATATATGTGAATAACAAATGCTGATTATGGCAAGTGATAAAAGACATGGCTCAAATAAAATAAAATGCATACCTTTTCCATGAAAACTGTCTTCCATTTTCTCTTCTTGCTCCTTGGTTTTGGAACCTATTGCCTGACTCCTGGTTAAATGTTCCTCTTCTGTGTTTTTCATTTCCTGCAATTCCTCGGCCACCTCTTCTATTGCCTCGGCCTCCTCTTCCAATTTCTCTCTCTTCATTCCAGTTGTAATCTCTCTCTCTACCTCTTCGAACTTCTTTTTCTTTATTTTTAAAATCTCCATGATTTCTCTCAATCTTGGAAGAATTTTCATAATTCTCTCCAATCACCCTTTTCCAGTTTTCCTCTCTTCTGCCACTGCCTCTTTCCCAGTTCCCTCCCCACCCTCTGTTTTTGCTCTGTCCTCTGTCCCAAACTCTACTTCTATCCACTGTATGTCCCCTGCCACTACCTCGTCCTCTGTTCCCCCCACGTCCTCGGTCTGCACCTCTCCTACTGCAATTCAGTCTGAACATATTCATTCTAAGATATTTGCCAGTGTCTATATCATCAGAATCTTCAGCATTACTGTAGGATTCCTTGGCAGGTCTTTGTCCTCTGTCTTCACCTTCTGATTCCTCATCACTGTCTTCTAAATCTTCGCTGCAGTTTCCGGATCCTAAGAAGAAACTGCTTTTTTTGCTCTTTTTATTTTTTTTGGATGCTGTTTTTCCTACGAAAAAAGCTTCATCTTCAGAATCAGAAACGACACTACTGTGATCTCCTTCAATAGTTCCATCAATGTTCTTGAGGTCCAACTGCTTCACTTCTGCAATCCTTGAGGCTTTAGAAACCTTGCTAATGGAAGGGTTCTCTACATTTCTACATTCTGTAGTAACTGTCAGTCCATCCTCACCACTCTCACTGTAAGAATCACTATGTTCTAACTCCTCTTCACTGCTGCTTTCATCTTTGCTTTCAGAATTATTCCCTGTCTGCTCTTTATGTTGTAAGTTCTGACTTAAGCTTTGAACTACAAAATCTGATGTATCACCAACATTATCTTCACAATCTGATGTATCGCCAACATTAACTTCGCAATCTGACATATCACCATTATCTTTATTTTTAATATTCCTCCATTTACTTCGTTTTTCATTCTCCTCTCACTACTGTTATCATCTTCACTTATAGCTTTCTTTCTAATAATTTCTATTTTCTTTAGCTTTTTATCAGTAGTTTTATCATCACTTGCATCATCAGTATCATCATCTAAACTGCCGCTCTTTTTACTACCACTTTCTCCCATTTCTATGTTATTTCCTTTGCTAATATTCTCTACATATATTTTATTCTTTTCTGTTTCCTCCAATTTTCTCTTTACTACTTTTGGTGTCATATTCCCCTCCTTCTTTCTCTTTCTACTTTTGCTGTTAGCTTTTTCCTTTTTAATTTCCTCTGACATATCAATAGCCCCCTTAATGATCTTTGGGTCTATATCAATATTAGTTAGTTCTTGCAGAAGCTTGAGAGAGCGTTGCTCCTTTTCCAGATACTTTTCCAACTTGCCCCTCCGCTTCAATCTCTCCAACTTCTTTTTTCGATGAAGAATTCCAAGACCCTGAAATACACAAAGGTAGGTTACATTTTGAAACTCCCTGGTTTCAAATGATGTTTAATGTGTGTTCCAGTACCATTTCTAGCAAGCATTCAGACCATGATTACTAGCTTAGGGATGGGAAGACACGATATAGAAGACATCATCCTATCAAGAGTACAATGGTGTTTAAAATGTGATTGCATATATGAAATTGGTTTTATTATCAACAAACTAAGGTTGTACAAGTTAATACCAAGTTTCCCACTTTTAGGAAGTGAGGAAATATTCTGCTGGCTGGGTTGGAAAAGCCTTATGAGAATAGAGATAAAGGGTGTCCTACACACATTATGGTACCATGTAAAACCATCTGATTTCTTCAGTCATTCAAGTTCAACATGTATAGGAAGTCAATCAATGCTTTTTAATTTTTTTTATCATCACCACACCAGCTCTCTCCTGCCAAGGTAGGGGTGGCCCAAAAATGAAGAAACACTTTCACCATCACTCACTGCATCACCGCCTTGCCAGAGGCATGCCGACACTTCAGCTCAGATGCCCCTCCAACCTATAATAATAACACTTCTCCTTCAAAGTGCAGGCACCGGACTTCCTGCATTCAGGACTCTAAGTCCAGCTAAGCAGTTTCCCTGAATCCCTTTATAAATATTACCTTGCTTACACTCCAACAGCACATCATCATAAAAACCAATTGCCTCCATTCACTCCTATTAAATGAGTTCATATATGCCTGTTAGATGTCCAAGCCCCTTGCATACAAAACCTTCTTCAACCCCCACCCTCCAACTTTTCCTAGGATGAACCTTACCCCTTCTTCCCTCCACTCTAGATTTATATACCCTTCAAGTCATACTATTTTGCTCCATCTTCTCTAAATGTCTGAGCCATCTTAACAACCCTTTAGCCCTCTAGGTAATACTTTTAGTAATCTGCACTTCCTTTTAATCTCCGAACTAAGAATTCTTTGAATAGTATTCAAAACACACAATGACCTCAGACACAACATTTCCACTGCCTCCAGCTTGGTCCTTGCTCCAACATTTAGAAGACATGTTTGACTGAGGCCTAACTTGTTCTTTCAGGAGAAAACAAAGGACAAACGGCAGTGCCTAGAGGCAGCCCAATTTAGCATTACAAACACCCTAATACAGTGTGGGTAGTCATCATCTTGTTTAGCCTCTCCCCCCTCTTCTGCTCAGCCAGCTGCATAACTTGACATAAAGGGTACTTTACCCCAATGTTCACCTGCACCGCTGCTCTATATATTTCATGTCATCTAAGTACGTACTGTTTTTAAGATACTATAAACCTTGGTCTCCAATCAAAACATCTACTAATAAAGTCTTCCATACAGCCTGTGTTTTATACATGTCATAAAAAGATTGTTACCATATTGCCAAACATCTTTTGTTTAGACTATAAATCAATTATAGTTGATCAAAAAGAATAATGTGTTCTATCACTGATGTTGCAGTATTATATTAAAATACATGAAAATGTCCAATTTTACATTTCTTTAATAATACTAACCTTGAGTAAGACTGGAACCTCTTCTGCCCACTTCGGATACTGCTCTCGAAATTTATTAATGATAGCACTAATGCCTTTGTGTGTAGCAAGACGACACAATGCTCTCTCCTCTATTTTTGCCTTTGGCTGAGGAAAAAAATATTTAAAATTTATTTAATATCACCATATTCATGCTGAAACATTTCTATGTCTGGCATACCTTCTTGCCTTTTGAAGCTCTGCATAAATGAGGGAAGGGAGTCCATGTCATTAATCTTTTAGAAATATTTTAATAAACTTGTAGCACCAAACAACATCTGAAGGAACGAAGCTACATATGTCACAACAATCCACACGTTACTTTTGTTCTTCTTTTTGGGCCACCCTGCTTTGATGGGATATGGCCAGTTTGTTGAAAGAAGAAGAATCCACACACTAAGGTTGGTCACCATTTTTCTACACTTGCAAAGAGGAGGTATGGAGAGACTGAAATACCTCAAAGGATAACTTCCCTCAACTCAATCATAACTTTATCAGTTCTAATAGTGTGACTTTCCAACAAAATATTTAACCCTTTCATTGTTGCATCCCCTGAAATTAAAAGTGCTGACAGTGTTGCAATACAAAAAATCTTCTGAAATGGTAGTCTTTTTCAGGAGGAAATGATGCCAAAAAACGTGAAATTTGATGGAAAACTTAATGAAATACACTGGCACAAAGCTGACGGTCTGGGAGCAATTTATGTATCAGTGACTCCACCCACTGTGAGTCCTATTTTAAGTCAATTACAATTCTTACTACTTATATCACTAGTAAGCCTTCCGGTCTATCAACCGAGTCAAGAAACTGCCTAAGTTTGTAATATGACCAATTTTGCACAAAATTAAGTGAATTTCAGTTTAAAAACAAGAGTCCAAAATAAACAGTGTTGATTCCAGCCGCTAAAGCAGCTTATCCTTTGTTCATTAATCCCTTCCCCAGACCTTTCCTATATAACATGTGCCTTCCAATTTGAACTCATCACACAGAAAATTCAAAGTTTTATCCTATATCTTGGACAATATAAAATATAACCAAGAATGATTGGTCATGGTTTAAGCAGGCTCAATAGTAGAAATAGGCCTATTTAAAACTCATAAACCAGACAGAGTGTAGTGGCCCCCACTTTGCATCATGAAAGTTGCCAAAAATCAAACAATTTAATTTAAGCTCTATTTCAAGCCATTCTCATTCCTGAAGCCGATCAAAGTCATCTTTATTTCAATATGTCTTCCATTCCATCAATTAATACCAAGAAAAGGCCAATAAAACCATAAAACCTACCCTAGAAAATACCTCAAAGTTGCTATGTAAACTGAACACATAGTCAGAGGTTTGCTTTTCCCATCACGCACTGCTCGAGGCAAGAGTTCTTTTATACTAAGTGCAGACCATTCTCTCATCTAAGACAAAATTACTGCTCACAGAATATTTCAGGGCACTGTGCATAAAATGTAGATCTACATGAGTGACAGTGGTGTCAATACCGTAAATCTTCATGGGAGACAGTGAAAGAGTTATTAAGCCAAAGACAACACAATATTCAGTGTAGCAAAGTTTGGTTAAAACAAAAGATCCAAATACCCTTCAGAATTATTTAATAAAAAATACATACTTAAGATTAATGCAACCACAAAACAAGTGGTACTTATACAATTAACAAATTGTGTTATGGACAGAGATCGAACCCATGCTACCTTGGCCCACCTTGTGGGAAGAAGGTCAAAATTCACAACACTTTAACCACTGTATGGTCCAGTGGTTAGAGCATTGTGAATTTTAACCTGCTTCCCATTAGGTGGGCCAAGGTAACACGGGTTCAATCCCCAGCCATGCCACAGTTTGTTAATTACATACTTAAGATGTTGATAATTTTTCTAAATTTGAATAGTGAAACATGCCAGAATCAAATATAAAGCACAGGTCACTTACATTACTTGCAACTGCTGTGAATGATTTCTTATTCAGGATGATGAACTTCATTATATCAATCGGAGCAATGCGCTGAAATAAGATATGCTTTTAAAAATTTAACAGCAATTAAAAAAGAAACATGTTAGCAGATAAGGCTATGTACATGGAATAGTTAAAAAAATAATAAGATATTTGTATGCTGGTACACTACTTAGTTTATATATACATAATAAAATACCAGTTTTATCATTGTCTCTCTTCTTAAGCTTTCCTTATCTTTTAGAAACATGGCCAGTACTTCCATACCCAATTCCTATGACTGGTTTTAAGTTCCACTCTCATAGCCCTGTCTGAGACCATACTTCCTGGTTGACTGCTTGAGACAATACTTTCTGGATGACTGCCAGAGACCACTTCCTGGATGACTGCCTGAGATTAAACTTCCTGGATGACTGCCCGAAATTAAACTTCCTGGATGACTGCCTGAGATTAAACTTCCTGGATGACTGCCCGAGATTATACTTCCGATGACTGCCAATTATCTTCCTGATGACTGCCGGATTACTTCGGATAATGCCTGACCAACCACGTTGCCGCTAAAACTACTATTTTTTTTTTTCGAGTGTTTGAAGTTGTCCCTTACCAAAGGTTTCTTGCACACCATGAAGCTGTATTCCTCTGAGATCACCATTATGGCTTATTAATTGTAGTACCTGCTTACATTTCCATTACTTCCTCAGATCATTTGGACTAGGCTTGATTACTACTTACACATCTGGGGAAGCTCTTCCTCCAAGTACATTTTTCATGCAATTCAAAAGAAATCTATTCACATGAATATTTACCCCTGTTCTTGCTTCTGATCTCTGAATTGAAATAATGCACAGTATCTACTGCTATTTCCTTCTATTGCATTACTATGGCTGGCTCTGCAATTTGCACCCCTCATGGAAGGTTCCTTGATGTTGGTGAGGGGCTCTTGATTTAGGGAATTGGATCTGTGCTCCAGTTCCCCGAATTAAGCCTGAATGCCTTCCACATCCCCCCCGGACGCTGTATAATCCTACGGGTTTAGCGCTTCCCCTTGATTATAATAATAATAATAATAATAATAATCTGCAATTTGCAAGTTGTGTACCTTCTCTTTATGAGTGACACTAATACATGGTAAGCAGCATTTCCACAGATACAACGGATCTGTAGTAAATCCTAGACTAGACCAATTTGCTATCTCATTTTCTACTTAAGAACATTTTTGAAGAATAAACGACCATTCTATATCTCCAATCCTTCAAGAAAAACCTGTCAAGATACTGACCAACTATTAATACTTTATAGCTTTACCTACAGTAGTGAGTAGGAAATTTTTTTTTTTTTCATATGGCCTATTTTATAACACAGTATATATATACTGAGAATTATATATAGGTACTGCTATTGTTACCAATCAAGTGATAATAAAGTGTTAAAAACCAGAAAGAGATAATGTACAGTACATGAACAATAAAAATAAATTTTTCTTCCTACTTATTCTACATTCCATGAATAAACTATCCCCAGCTCTAAAACATATATTACAATTAACATACCTGGAGAGAGTTCCGGGGGTCAACGCCCCCGCGGCCCGGTCTGTGACCAGGCCTCCTGGTGGATCAGAGCCTGATCAACCAGGCTGTTGCTGCTGGCTGCACGCAAACCAACGTACGAGCCACAGCCCGGCTGATCAGGAACATACCTTAAGGATCATGACTTCCTCCACAAGTTTCTCAGCCCTACGATTAAATTTTGCTTTTATGAGGTCATTATCAGCCTTCTTTTCACGTAACTTCTTGACCGTCCGTAGTAACTTCTTGATCACACAAACCTTCCCTTGTTGTGCTCGAGGTTTTCCCTGTACTATCTGTCAAATAATAAGACTTTATTACACTAGCAGATAAAGCTGTACTTAAGCAGTATTAAGAGACGATTTTGTTTGGATTTTTAACTTATTTTGCTGTATAGCCCTTGTGGCTTAGCGCTTCTTTTTGATTATAATAATAATTTAACTTAAATCAGTATAAGTCACTACCGTGAATGGAGTCCAAAAACACATAACAAAAAGCTTACACGTTCGTGTTGAAGAAAAGTTACAGTGTGATTGAAGGTCCTCGGAGCCAATGAGGCGGTAAGCATTTCTTTTAGTGTTTTTGAGTAATAATTTAGATATTCCGATTAGGTTCTTCTGATGATCTACCTAATTATCAAAACAAAGTTTGCGAATAATCATAATTTTAAGATTTAGTCCATGATACAAAAATGATTTTAAGTTATTGTATGAAAACTATGAAGACCAAGGCACGTTTTACCTCTATCGGCACAAATTTTCGCCTAAACCATAAGTTTTTTATTTTTCTATGCGAACAAAATAAGAAAGGTTAAAAATTTGGACACAAGCGATAAGTTAACCTCGGAAAAAATTATAGACTAAACCAAGTAGAATTAATGGAAGCTAATTTCTCCCAGTAAAGGGAAAATAGAAACAATGCGCTCAGTATATAACTTTTGACAAACCAGTCCAGTAATAAAGCTTATTTTCCCAGATAATAATGAGAAACACAGGCATATAAACATGACAAACGTCCCATGGATAAAGCAAGGATACTAGGAGAAATCACATAGTGAAGACAGTAGTTATTACTGTAGCAAGTGTGAACTACATGAGGACCTCTGTGGAAATTTGAAGATACCCTAACCCCCACTGACGGCTAGAAATTACTAAGTGTTTAGTAGTTTACGTGGCATGCCTGGAATAGTATAGTCCCCCTTAACCTCCTTAACGACACTTTAATTCGGACTCTACCTTCTTAACGAATCCTTAAATCCAAACATTCGAAGCATTTAAGGCTTAGTAATAATGGAGTTTGATCGATTAATAATTAACTAACCGAGGGTAATGCTTACCAGGTAACCAAAAAGTCAAGTGTGCAGCAGGTCTGGTGCTAAATTTCCATTGGTCCTAATCTGGTCCCCAGGATGCGACTCCACCGTCGACTAACACCCAGGTACCTTATTTCCTGTTGGTGATACAGTACAACAGTTAGGTAAACGTGTCGCAATGTTTCGCCCGCGGAATGAACCAGTGGGCCACATGATTAGTGGAGCCTTAGCCACCAGGCACTGAGCCTACCAATCTTGTGGCTTAACTCCGATTAATTCGGAACTTGAATCATTTAATATTTAGACTTATTAATAAGTCAGAAATTCGGTCACCAACACAATTTTTTACAATTCAGCGTCTATGGACTGGAGGCAAATACCCCGCTTCAGCACAGGAGGGCCCGGGTTCGATTCCCGGTTGGTGGAACCATTTCGACACGTTGACCTTACACCTGTTGTCCAGTTCACTAGCAGCAAATGTACCTGGTGTTAGTCGACTGATGTGTGTCGCATCCTGGGGGACAAGATTGAGACCACAATGGAAATAGTTAGACAGTCCTCGATGACACACTGACTTTCTTGGGTTATCCTGGTGGCTAACCCTCCGGGGTTAAAAATCCGAACGAACTCTTATCTTATCTTATCTAGCCGTAAGCTGAGGACGGACACACACACACACATGCTTTTTTTCTGGCTCCAGGTTATTTGGAACAACACACAAATAACCCGCACATGGGAGACTGAGAGGTGTCATGGCCCAAAGTACTTGGTAACGGCGGTTTTCAGTTGTAGGAGGAGAACATGACTGTCATCTGGCCCAACTGATGTTGAGTGAAGTGATCGGGCTGCAAATATTGCAGCCCGATCCACGAGCTAATTTCCTTGATGTCAGCATGAGAAGAGAGCTATTGTAAACGAACTAGCCAACCTAACCATACCACGGATGGGGTTTGAACCCGCGGTAAGAGAGTCTCAAAACCCATAGATAAGAACAATATCAGGAGGCGAGTATATCTCAGCCAGGAGCCAGTGGTATACTTAGAAGGTTGTTTCTCCTATCTCCAACTCTACTGCCAAACCACTAAGTCCCTACATCTTTTCTAAATCTAAATTTACACAACCTGAAGTAAATGTTACGAGTCTTTTCACGGTTAGATACTTTCTGAACTTTATTTATATCTCTTTAATTTATCCTGTTTTTTTTTTTAATTTGTACACTTTACCCATGTTACTCCAAATTCTACGCCTTTCCACCTTCGTAGGAAAGATTTCTGACACATGGGATTAACTTCACATCTCCACAAAGAGAAGTGATTTGCATAAGTCTGAAAGTTTTGTCTAATCTTCAGTATTTTGTCTAACTTTCAGTGTTTTGTCTAACTTTCAGTGTTTTGTCTAACTTTCAGTGTTTTGTCTAACTTTCAGTGTTTTGTCTAACTTTCAGTATTTTGTCTAACTTTCAGTATTTTGTCTAACTTTCAGTGTTTTGTCTAACTTTCAGTGTTTTGTCTAACTTTCAGTATTTTGTCTAACTTTCAGTATTTTGTCTAACTTTCAGTATTTTGTCTAACTTTCAGTGTTTTGTCTAACTTTCAGTATTTTGTCTAACTTTCAGTGTTTTGTCTAACTTTCAGTATTTGTCTAACTTTCAGTGTTTTGTCTAACTTTCAGTGTTTTGTCTAACTTTCAGTATTTTGTCTAACTTTCAGTGTTTTGTCTAACTTTCAGTATTTTGTCTAACTATCAGTGTTTTGTCTAACTTTCAGTATTTTGTCTAACTTTCAGTGTTTTGTCTAACTTTCAGTATTTTGTCTAACTTTCAGTGTTTTGTCTAACTTTCAGTTTTTGTCTAACTTTCAGTTTTGTCTAACTTTCAGTATTTTGTCTAACTTTCAGTATTTTGTCTAACTTTCAGTTTTTGTCTAACTTTCAGTATTTTGTCTAACCTTCAGTTTTTGTCTAACTTTCAGTATTTTGTCTAACTTTCAGTATTTTGTCTAACTTTCAGTGTTTTGTCTAATTTCAAGACAACACATGGAAAGCTCAGAGACTAACGCAGAGGAAGTAGATATGGTTTAGTCAATATGTGGCTGAATTTGAGTAATTTAAGGAACTGGTGCAGTTTTTTTAATTCGGAGTAACTACGTTTAAGAATATATAAACAGAGTCCAGGTGAGAATGATGTTTTCCCAGCAAGAAGAATATAACACAAGCAATCCCAGGAGAATAGGATGAAAACAGTCATTTATGCTACCTGAGAGTGTTTCCGGGGTCAACGCCCCCGCGGCCCGTCCTGACCAGGCTTCTGTTGATCATGGCTAAGGGCTGGGACGGACGGAACGTCTACACACTACCAAGGGCAACGGCACAAGTCCCAGATTCAGTAATGCTGAACAATGATCTTGAGCGCCGAAGTCGGATATACGGATTATGTTATGAATAAATGGTTAAAAACAATCTTGGGTATCCTTAATCTGGAAACGTTTCTCCAGTCAATGGATCTTCAGTGCAGAGAAAGATAAAGATGAGGAGAGTTTGAGGTAACAGTCCCCCCAGCTTGAGTCGATGTGTTCAGTCCTTCACTGGGTTTGATAAAGATGCACGACATTCGCGGAGACGGAGCTTAATAAGCTTTACATGTGCGAATATGCTGCCTTTATCAAGATGATGAAGCGAACACATCGACCCCCAGGCTGAGGGACTGATTCCCCACAATTCCTAATCATCTTCACCTTTCTCTGAACTGACTGAGAAGCCATGAGTTGGCGAAATCTTCCCAGAATAAAGATACCCAGATGTTGCACCGATGTTTTTTTACATTCTTGAGAGCCCGCAACTTATATAAGTACGTGCAGAACAGCAGACACTGAATATATCGATAATGATAAGTCCTAATTTTATGGGGTGGAGGGTAAGCCATCGAAGGCCTCACTTCAGAATGACCAAAAGCTCCAGCTGCGGGTCATATTACTAAGTACCCGCGTCAGAAACCATTGTCCTGTTTCTCCTGACAAACCTTACTGACCTAACCTAAACCAGCAAACACTGGCTTTGGCCCACCTTTCAAGAGGTTTCCTGGGTGCTGAAGTGAGGCTCATGATTCAGGAACTGTTGCTATCCTAATTACCAAGTACCCCAATGAAAATAGTCACACTGACCTTTCCTGTGTTATCCTAGACAATTACACCATGTAATATGCTTGTACTTGTGTACCTGTGCCTAAATAAAACTATTATTACTTACCATGGAAAAATTTAAGTAATACTTCCCATTCCCCATGCGCTGAATGACCCCATTTGGAGTTTAACGTTTTCCCATGAAACTAATATTAATAGGGCAGTGGTTTAACGTCGAGGTAAGAACATTACCTATTACCTTAAGAAACAGAGGAAATGAAGAACAATAAGAGGTCATGCAAGACGTTCATATACATCAAGAAGCTAAACAACTTAGGTAATGTGAACAAGGAAGATTATCAGTGTCTTTGTAACCCCGAGCCACACTGCCTGCGCTGCCGCAGTAAATGTTACCGAAAAAAACTTAATAGCCTTTCTCTTTCTTTTTTCCGGGCCCCTTTCCCTTGGTCTCTTCAAAGACTTATTAGTAAGATAACAATTTTCCTTTTCCCCGCCAAGCCCAGTTACCACCATCGCCACAATCCACCAGCTACCCTCAGTTACCACCATCGCCTGACAAACCCTCACCACACCCCTCATTACCCCCATCCCCTGACAACAGTCTCCCCATTTAACCACAAAACCCCCATACCGCAACGTCCCCGTCAGCCACAGTTATTACCATCACCTAAAAACAGTCTCCCCACTCTCCACAGTTACCACCACCCGACAACAATCCCCCACTTAGCCACATTACCCCCACACCTGAAAAATTCCCCCCATCTACCACAGTTACCACCATCCCCACAACAGTCTCCCCAGTCTAGCCACAGTTACCCCATCACCGAAAACATCTCCCCATCTAGCC